CATAGAAAAAAATATTAAAAAAACATAATCATCATTAAAATTCAAAATTATTACTGCAAGTAACAATGAGAAAGATTCATGAAATTTTACAAACATTAAACTAAGGAAAGGAAGAAAAAGTGTTTTTTTTTTTTTGAGCAAATTAAAATATTGCATAATTCTATTATACACTGGGGTCCATGTAACATTACTGGGGATCCACAGAAAAAAAATACTGAATTGGGATTCACAGTGATATTTTAGTGGTCTATAGAGTAATTCTACTTCAGAACAATTGTTTTACTGAGAATTAAATTTCTACAGTATATATATTGTCAATTTCTTTATTATTCATTTCTTGCATAAGGGTTAAAATATAAATTTATTTAAAATATTGAATACATATACAACATACAAAACTCATTGACAAAGGTCAAAGAGAGATTATAGAGCCAAGGTTTGTTAGGAGAATCTTATACCATCAATGTCATGTCACTGTCATGTCACATTTTCCTTTCTTTTTTTATTAGTGAAAAATATAAGGTTTTTTTTTCTGTGCAATGTTTTTGGGGGTCCATAAAAAAAAATTAAGAGGAAAAAGAATCCATGTAGAAAAAAAGGTTGAGAACCACTGTATCAAGTAAACATTACAAAAACAAATGTCATACCATAAAATGACAAAAGCCTAAATTTTTCTCAGACTTTATTTTAACATATCCAAACAAGAAAAAAATAACTCGTGTTGCTCCAAACATAAATCTTGTTGAGACAGTAGTTTGAAGAAAGAAATCAATGTATTCACCATAGAAATGTGCTTGAGGATGCATATTACTAAAGGTTTAAAAGATTGGGAGATTTTCAATTACTGTTAATTTGCAATTTCCAATGTGAATATCAACTGTCTTAACTAATTGTTCATACTGTGCATTGTCAGTATACATAGCACTAATTATAAGAGAGAGAGTAATTTTTTTGAGTTGGGGTAAACATCATTGGTGTGGTGTATACCAGCAATGCCAACTACAATGATAACCAGGGTAATGCTGCATAGTCCAAAATTGCCAATATTTTTATTAAAGTTGCAATAAAAACCCTAGTCTGTTTATTTTGACATTCAACCTGAAATTGAATCACAAAGCACACTTCAGGAAAAATAGCAGAATGTCTAGCTACTGTACAACATACACCTAGAGATTTTATGATGTCACAAGACAAGTTTGGGCAGAAAAGTAGGAAGTGATATTGAGAACCAAAGACAGTTTTGTGCAATGCTGCCCAGCATTTCCAGATTGGAGATTTTTTATCGAACGAGAGAAAATTTTGGAAATTTTTCAAAGACTTTTTTCACTTTTAATCTACTGAAAAAAGATCAAAGAAAAATTTTGACATGTCAGATCCTGTGAAATACTGTTTAAACATTGTAATCAAATGTGTTATTCAGAATTATTCATTAAAGTACCCAGTCGATCCACCCATAGTTCTTCATGTATATTCACTCCTCAATATCACCTGACTATCAATTTTCACACAGATCAATTTTTTATCACATCATTCAGAATATAAAATCTGTGGAACACTTACTGTATGAAAGTTTTAGTCATTTTAAAAACAAATGTCAAAATATTTTATATCAATCATGAAACTGAATTTGTTTAATATCTAGGCGAATCAGTATGTATAATTCTTCCATCTTTATTGTTTTATTATACTGTAATTATATATGCATAACATGTCAATTTTTATAATAAATGTAAAATCTTAATTTCTTAAATTTCATTACTTTAGATTGCCTAATGTCTCCATTTTACTTCTATTATATATTTTTAAATTGGACTATTTATAATTTATATTTATTTATATTTTTTTTTGTTATTTTTCTTGGTTTTTATTACACTATATTTTTGGGATTAAGTATAAGTAGTGGGTGGATATCTTTTGCTGTCAGGTATTTCCTAATTGTGTAAAATAAATAAATAAATAATCATTCAAAAATAATTCCTATTGCTAACAAGGATGTTTGAGTCTCCAATTCAAATAAAACTTGGGGAGCACATAGCCTTAAACATAAACAACTTCTTGTCCAAATAATAGGACAAGAAGTGGTTTATGCTTTTTTTGGTTAATTTCTCAAGCATTTCCCAAAAATATACCTCTGAAAATTTAGTGTTTAGCTTTAGTGTAAGTCTTTGAAAGTTTTGTTTCCAAGCAGCGATAGCCAAGTGGATAAAATGCTATGCACTGGAGTTAATGATATAGATTTGACCTTTGGATTTTTAGTTTAGTTTTATTTTATGTGTAGCATTATTATTTTACTGCATCATTAACATTATTACTACTCGTCCCATTTAAAGCTTATAAAACAAGAGATTAAAAAAGCTTTTATAGATTTAATTCTATGTCATTAAATAAGACTAACATGAAGAAATAAAAATTTTATTTAACAATGTAAAAGAGATAAATCTACGGAGACTTGTTTTCACTAAATAATAAATGATGTCACAATTTTTAATCTCATTTTATAAGCTTTAAATGTGAGAAATAATAATAATAATAATATTGCTAATAGACAGTAAAATAATGAAGTTATACATTAAAAAACAAAACAAAAATAAAATTGTGAAGATTTGTACCTATATCTAGCTCCAATGAATAGTGTCTTATCCACTCAGCTATTGCTGCTCAGATAGCTTATAAGTCTTTGAAAGTTTCATTTTTACATGAAACTTTCAAAGGCTTATAAGCTAAACACTAAATTTTCCACTAAATAAACCATTTTTGGAAAATGCTTGGGAAGTGGATTCTATTATTTGGACAAGGAGCTATTTGTGTTTAAGACTACGTGCTCACTAGGTCTCATATGAATGTCTGAGCCTCTCCTTTTAAGTGACAGCTTAACTAGTTATTTTTGCTATCCAGACACGAAACTGATAAGACTATCAGCACCTGCATTAATTAATAAGTAAAACTGGTGGCAATAATTTGAAGTAGCAAAAAGAATTGAAAATTAGAAACAGTTGGCAATATTTTTAAATTTTCCAGAGCAACCCCTGGATAACATTGACATTGTAATCATAGTGACTAATGATAAGGTTAAAAACATGCTGGTCGTCGCTTGGCAACAAAGTATCCACAAATGGAGCTGTCAATCATCTCGACACTAACATGCTGGTCATGATGTGGCTTGCCATTTTGATTTGTGTGCCTTCAAGAAAGCTGGAAGTAGTGATTTTGTATTAAACAATGCAAAATAGTTACTATTGAATTCACAGTTAATATAAAATATAGATTACACAGTAATCTATATTTTATATTATTAAACTGAACTCATTAACATTGAAATTCCTAATCTCATTCCTGTGATCACAAATCTACTCTACATTAACAGACTTCACATCAACTGATAAATAATAGGGTTTGACTGTATATATAACAATTTTGTCATCATGAACATTAGTCAAATGCAACATGATCATGATTTACATAAAGATTACATTCCTGAAGCAACCACAAATAAGATGTCAGCAAAAAGAAAGCATATGACTTACCTAGAAGCACCAAAATTGAAGGAAGGGTAATAAAGTTGGAAGCATAGCAGCACTTGAAAGAAAAAGAAGAGAAAAGAATAAAAGTACAAAAGAAATTCAGTGTAAAGGGGGTTAGCTGGTTGTTCTTGAAACTGAATGCAGCTATATTAGAACTAGAAGGTATGGATCCAAATGTTAAATGGTTCATGAAAGTGGAACACCAACTGAATAAATTTCATGATACTATCATAAAATTTATGAAGAAAAATAAACCAGCAATGAGTTGTTCAACTTTTCCGGTAGCATTTAAATTTTTACAGTGCCATCTGTTGTTATATTTTATTTATAAATCTTTTAACTATTATGAAATGTAAAAAAGCTTAATTTTGAAGGTAGGGATGAGTTTTATAAAAAACTGTAAATGCTAATAACAAGTAATATCATCATTAAGTCTGATCCTACTGGAGATAAACACGACCCCCATTATCTCCCCCACCCCTTGACCTTTAAATACCAAAATTTAATAGCATCAATTCCCCTAATACAAAAATCTTCCTGCAAAATTTCAGAAATTTCTGACAAAAAACACAGGAGTTTTTAAGCTTCAAACAAGGTGAACAAAATTGTACCCCCCACACACACACTAACGTCCATACAAACAGAAATTACCCCCAAATTTTTTTTTGCATTTCAATGTTCAAAGGTGTCCTAAGTCCAAAAATGTAAATATCTTGGGGACCATTAACAGATATGTATGGCAATTAGTCAATTGCCATACATATCTGTTATATATAACAATCAAGAAAGTAAAAACAGAAACTTACAAAGCAGATCACACTAATGAAATTCTTAAAAACTATACCCAGGATTCCTACACCTGCAAATACTTCCATTTCTTTGCAGTCATCTCTCTTACTTGGGCCTCCCTGATAATCCTGCTAATAACTCCAACAATAACACTAATGACCTGAAACCATTACCATGTTTTGAAAGATTTCATGATTAAAATATTGATTTGAATGACTTTTTTTTAAATGAATGAACTTTAATTTTTTTAATAAAGCATTTAATGATTTTTGCTGATTGTATTTTTATGTTCTGTAATATTTAAGGAGATGCAAATTAAAACAAAGTTATCAAGTTGGAATTTCCTTTACATCTTTTCTTATTGCAGAATAAATAAAACAGTTAAGCTCCTCATTTATCGACCAATTCACTTAATGATAATCACAGAAATTAAATTTGATCATTAAGTAAGTGGTGCCAGTGTTGAATATTACCTAACATCACCTGAATTTTATCAAAAATGAAAATATTCAAGTTTCTGAATATTTCTCCACTGTGACAAGATTTTAAAATGTTAAATGAAAGTTAAGGAACAAATTAATAAAATGCCCTAGACTATATAAAATCTATGTAATTTTCATTAAACAAAAGGCTGGTATATATTTAACAAAACAATTAAGAAAATAATATGTTTTAGGAAAGAAATTTTACCTTCTTTTTCAATTTCTTCTAAATATTTTTTAGCAATACGAAGTCTCTTTTCTTGAACTGTTTCTTCTTCATCACTTACAAAATCTAGTTTATTTTTCTCGTCAATATCACTAAATTAAAATAAATTTGAAACTTTACAAAATTCTCATTCAATAAATACATTAAAGAAACCATAATTAACTATCGAATACAAGACTGTGTTGTTATTAAAATACTTGGCGTTTTTCCTCTTTATTCAGTTGAATGGTGCAGAGGAACAGGAAACTATTACCATAATATTTTGAATTCATTTATACAGACTTAGATTTTCATAAAACATTAACATAAAATCATATTAGAATTAACTGAAGTTTAGAAAGTAATGAGACATTGTAAGACATTAAATTTATAGTAAATTAATTATATTCTAATCTATAAATTTTTAATGAACAATGTTTAAAGATTATAGATGTGCTATTACCAAAAACATTCCACATTTACTCACTTCATTTAAATTTTAAACACTTATTATTTTATTTTCAATTACCATATTTTTAAAATGCATTATTTTGAATCTGAAATTTATCTGAAAATTAGGATTCATCTTATATTGTGAAGAATGTTTCTCCCCCCAAAAAATCAATGTTAAAAATTTGATGCATCTTAAAATTAGTTATCACTTCACGCTGACTTTATAATTATTGTAAAATCACTTACGTGTTGTGGCGTTACCACAGTGAATTATTAAAATATAAATATAAAATTTCACGAGCACTTTCGGTAACATATAGTTACCATCTTCAGGTGAAATGAATACTACAGTTTTCTGTATCAGAGTTGTAGCACTTCTTGAAAAAGTGATGTGGTCAAATGGAACTCCAATGTAAATCGAAATTTTCTTGCAGTTCGAAAATGTTTCAAAATGGAATGGAATATTATAAAAATTCACAAACTATGGTTGCTATGCGACCATGTAGCTCTAGCAATCTAATTTGTAATGTTTAAATAAAGTAGTCCATGTTTTAGAGATTTCCAGAGTTCTGGTATTACATGGTGAAAGCGTTGAAATATATAGTTTTCCCAAATAAAGAGTTCTTTATGATTATTGCATCTTTACAATAGTTTCGTTTGGTCCCAAACCGGCCAGTAGTCTTGATCAAGGACTCTTCTGGCTAATTCCGTTGATGGCCGGTTATTACAGATGTCATCCTGATGTTCTGAGATGTGTGATATTAGTGTTCTAGCAGTTGCTCCTATATAATAAGTATCTTCTCCAGGTCCATTATGTTGTAATGGAATAAGATAAACTCCTGATTTCTGTTTCACATCGATGGGGTCTCTGTCATTAGTTAGCAATCTTCTTAATGTTGGCTGCATGGATAGCGGTAGCATGTAGCCATTTTTTCTAAACAAGTGTACAATTTTGAGTGATGCAGGACCCAGAAATGGTAATGGGGGTGTGCTATTCTTGCACACCCTCATTACCATTTGCTAATCATCTGCTAGCAAAGAAAAAGGGAAAAAGCAATATCTTAGGGATTTGCTTTCTTCTTTTGCTGATTACTTTTTCCTCTCTGTTCCTTCATATTTTAGGGTTAGAAACCTATTAATATTACACTCATAATCTAACACCTTCAATTTTATTCAATGAGTTATCAAAATCTTTCATGACTATTTCTACTAATTTTGGTCCATCTTTGATCCCACACTAATACCTTCAGTTTGTCTATAATAATTGTTATTTATTTTGAAATAATTATTAATACAAGCAAATCTAATTAATTCTATAAACCATTTTTTCTAATTGTAACTTAATCAAATTTACTTCTATAATTCCCAGCCTATGCTTGTACAGTAGAGCGTCGTTTATCTGAAAGCTGGTTATCCGAAACATCGGTTAACCGAAAGCATTCCAGTCAGCAAATTTAAATTTTCGCTAGTGCTGTGGCGCTGCAATCTTTGGCTATATCTTGGGCTACTCCAATATTTTTTTGTTGGTATATGTGTTTTAGCTGGCAGCACTGGCACTTTTGTCTGGTGTTTTTCTGAGGACTGTGTGTTGTGCTGAATCGAACGTTTTTGATACTAGATCAACTTCTAAAGTATATTTTGTTTGGTTTTTATATTTTTCAATATATTTATTTTGTTTGTAAAAAATAAAGAAATAATTGTTAATGATACAATAGCCACGATTATTATTTTAAAAANAAGAAAGATAATTAGAAAAGATATTTTGATGAGAGAAAATGCCAATGGTAAAATTATTATTCATTAAGCAATAAGATCAAACTGAATTAGAAAGTAAACATACACACATTAATTTTTAAACTAAGAATTGTTTTTAAAAATAAACAAAATAATAACCAATTTTATTAAAAATATAGTTAAAATAATTTTTAATGATACAATAGCCACGATTATTATTTTAAAAAGTTTATGTTAGGCTTAACATCGACAAAAATTCAACACAAAGCGACACGCAACTGAGAAAAATTTCAACATGGGATAGATTAATATATTTTTTCGTACATAATCGGTTATCCGAAAAATAAGTTATCCGAACAACCTCAGTCTCCAATTGATTCGGATAAACAATACTCTACTGTATATTAATTACATCTAAACTTAACATTTCATCCATATTTTGTCTATTTTGTTAATTACACTCATGTTAATAGCCAATAAACGTGCTATATTTTTTCAAATATAAAATCTAAAGGAGATGACTAGATGTTGTAACAGCCAAAATGCATACATGCTATTCAGAAGGACCCAGATTCTAGACCATCAGAAATTTTCATGGCTAATCTGATCCCAGTATATCAAGCCCTCCTCTCTATATAACCTGCCTTATTGCAAAGTAAGCCTGAATTAACCTATGTAGGCATTGAAAAAGGCCTCCTTAGTGCCCATAGAGCAGAAAAATTTCAGTGATCAGAATTATAAATTAATTTCTTTTTTATGAATGAAAATAAGTTCTTTTTTGTGTTTTTAATTTAGAATAAAATTATTGGCTATATTTTAACTGATTAAACAATAACAAAATGATCAAAAAATAAACTTTTGATTGTTCAGATACAATTTAACAATGAACATGAATGCTATTAAAACATATACAGTATAAAGATATATTAAATTTTGATAAAACAAAAACACAAATATCAACATTAGAACTTAGAGAAATACAGCATTACCATCTTTTTATTAAATACTTCCTCAATTAAAAATAATTTTAAACAAAAACAAAATGAACAAAATTAGAACAGAATATTTGAATATGCAAAAACTTAATATTTAAATTTTAAATGAATTATTTTTGAAAATATAATAAAATTTATTTTCAAACAGATAGAACAAATTCTAGTAATTATGAGATGTAAAGAAAGATAATTAGAAAAGATATTTTGATGAGAGAAAATGCCAATGGTAAAATTATTATTCATTAAGCAATAAGATCAAACTGAATTAGAAAGTAAACATACACACATTAATTTTTAAACTAAGAATTGTTTTTAAAAATAAACAAAATAATAACCAATTTTATTAAAAATATAGTTAAAATAATTTTTAATGATACTAAACAGACTGAAGAGTTAAAAATTTCTGACAATTTTAGTTCTAATAAATAATTTATTTTAAATATTATAATTTAAAATAACCTTTAACATACCTCAAATCAGAATCACTAGATATTACTTCATCCTTTGCTAACTTTTGTTTTGATGTTTCCACTTTTTTACTTCCTAATTTTCCATTTATCTGCATACAATATATTAATAATAGTTAATAACACAATATAAAAGGAAATTTTAATAGATATGATCAAGAATTTGATTTCAATAATGGTTTGACATTATACAAATTGCCTAAATTTTCAATTTTCTATCATATAACTTGGTAGCAAAAGGAAATATTAAAAAAGAAATCTTTCTTTACTTATGGGAATATATTTGTATGATTTAAAATATGACATATATTTAAATCATACAAATATATTCCCAGTGTAATTAAAAAATATGCTTTAATGAAAATAATATTCCTTGTAAATACAAAAAATTAGAAAGATATCCAAATGTTTTCAGGCTATGATAATCATCATCACAGACATTCATTGCAAAAACTCTGTTATCTACAATTTTTTGTTGTATTTACACAAAATTTTATCCTCATTAAGGCATATTTCAAATTACTTTTTCTCATAAATGGAATTAGTTTGATTACATTCTTAATATTGAATATTTATTTAATACTGTTGTATTTCAAAACTCTACTGCAGCATATCTTGTTCATAACTTCTACAATGAATATTTACAATAAAAATTATTGATGTTTGTGCAGACGGTCGAAGAGTGATAATGTAAATTATACTGTAATATGAATTAATAACCTTATATCAAATCTAAAACTAACAGAAATTGCTCACTTGTTAAGATTCTCAAATGTAAATTCAATTCATACTGGATTTATATTTGAGACTAATGGAATACATTTGGCTTTTGGATTATACACTCATTATCAAATGTTGAAAAGAAAAAACAAGATTGAAAGAATTATTACTAGCTAAAAAAATTCCATAGTAGAACAAATAAAACAAGAATTCATCATTATAGTCACTTCAATATAATATAAACAGGAAGATTGTGCATGTTAACTTTCTTACATCATGTTACATAGTAAATACAACATAAACCATGGAACAAAAACCAAGTCAACAGAAAAAATTTATGGTATTGTTTCAATATTGTTCTGCTGTTACATGAGTGAAAGTATTGTAATAGGTCCAATTTTGACCCTCTGGATTTTTTTGCATTTTTTAATTTTAAAATCCTGGTTCAAAAAATATGGAAACAAAATTCTGTATTTTGCTTTCTGTCTCAGGACCCCCTAGAACAAAAAAATTTGAAATTTAATAGGTGTATATTTCCACTTATGACATATTGATGCTGTTACAATTTGGAGATTATACGTCAAAGCACAACCCACAGAATAAAAAAGCCTATCCATTCGTTCCTATCTGGTGTGTCATGACTGGCAGCAATTTGTAGGTTTTCCTCACAGAGTGATGCTGCTGTTTGGTCTATTCCTGCTCTAAGTGTGCTGAGTGAGAATGACCGTATTAATTTTTCTGCGGAAAAATAACCTTACAATAAACGAGACTGGAAAGTAATACTAATAAAAACCACATTCAATCTAGAGCCTTTTTTTTGTTTCCAGTATTGTTTAACAATAATTAAATGTTTAAAGACAAATGTTTTTGATCTAGTCAATATCTTCCTCAGATCTATGTCCTTTCTCAGGCTCCAGTTGAATGTGGTTTTTATTAGGCATTCCATTTCACTTAGACCTGAGGAAGATCTTGACAAGATAATTAAATATTTAAAGACAAATATTTTTGATCATTAAACATACTAGAAACAAAAAATAGCTCTAGTTGAATATGGTTTTTATTAATTTTTTCAGTATTATTTGAATCATTATTCAACATTATTTATTTTCTTAGTGCTTTTTACTATTTTTGTAAGATTAATTTACAGTGGTGCATTTTCAGTGCAATTTTATACTTCAAACAAATCAAAAACATGTAAAAAATTAGAAGTGACAAAGAGGTACTAAAGGTAATTAAAGCAGAACTGAAACTGCTTTCAACCAGACCTTGTAACAGTATACAGACCAATATTTGTTTTGTAACAATGACCTACTACATTAGTGAGTACTTAGGGTTGTAGAAGAGCTAATTGATTGTTCTAGCTATTTGGACATGATTGAATCAGTGAAGACTCCTGTCTCTTCTGAAAAATTTAAATGATTGTGGGGGACTTTTATATCCAAAGCCAGAATTTATTATATTTTTACTACAACTAGAAAAAGCAATTGATGTTTCGTCTGAGCAAGATAATTCAGTCATGAATAGAAAAAGTCCAATAATTTCATGCAGCAAAGATAGACACCCTAATGCAGTTTCTAATTTGATTTTAAGAAAATTTATTAGACCCTACATTTCAAACTACACATAAATTGTAAATGATGTATACATAAAGGAGAATTGTAAACCATGCAGCAAAAGTTCAGAAAGTAAACTGTCCAGAAAAATTATCAAAGCTGCATCTTTAAAAATATAAATGTAAATTTGAATTTAGTAAAACAACTTTTATTTTCTTTGTTTGTTATGAAATAGTCATTTGATAGTTCAAGGAAGACAAAGACTTACTTTGAGAGTCACTGTAGTAACTCCCCTCAAGTAAAAAAGTCACCAACTGATTATAAGTGTTGCCGATTTCCAGGAATTGATCTCTCTGCCCTCCAACTCCTATAGTAATTCTGAATACCTTATTTGAATGATAATTGTTTTCTTATATAGTGTACAAAATTTCAGGATTTTCAGTACAGGAGTTGCCAAAATATAAGCAATTGAAAAGTGCAAAACTTGCCAAAAAAGCTGTATTTTTCTTCTTTTTTTCTTCGTCTAGCATTGCAGATGCTTGTCGAGAAAAAACTACTGGATCTAGAAAGCTCAAATTTCAAACTTAAGCCTTTCTTGTTATCAATGAGGTGCTGGTGAAACTTCCATGTAGATAGGTCAAAGTTCATGTGGGTTTCCCATACAGCTATTTCAGTTTTATGGTTTAATTTTATGCTTATAAGGATAAAATTGTATGAAAACACATGAATTTTAAAACTTATGACAATTTAGATCAGGGGTGTCCAACCTTTTTGTTTCTCTGGGCCGCATTGGAAGAAGTCAAGGAGAATTGGGCCACAAGTTTATATAATATATACTTGTGGCCCAATATACAACAGGGGCATGCCGTGACATTTGATGATAGGGAAGCTGTGTTTCTATAAGAAGCCGACATCCAGGGGCAATCAGTTAATTCTTTCTTTAAATGTATTTTTAATAGATTATTTATCTGACGTACTTAATAAACAAGTTCATTATAATTACCTCTGTTATTAGATCCAACATATTCCATATGCCCTCTAAATGCCAATCTTAGACCTGAGGAAGATCTTGACAAGATCAAAAATATTTGTCTTTAAATATTTAATTATCATTAAACATACTAGAAACAAAAAATAGCTCTAGTTGAATATGGTTTTTATTAATTTTTTCAGTATTATTTGAATCATTATTCAACATTATTTATTTTCTTAGTGCTTTTTACTATTTTTGTAAGATTAATTTACAGTGGTGCATTTTCAGTGCAATTTTATACTTCAAACAAATCAAAAACATGTAAAAAATTAGAAGTGACAAAGAGGTACTAAAGGTAATTAAAGCAGAACTGAAACTGCTTTCAACCAGACCTTGTAACAGTATACAGACCAATATTTGTTTTGTAACAATGACCTACTACATTAGTGAGTACTTAGGGTTGTAGAAGAGCTAATTGATTGTTCTAGCTATTTGGACATGATTGAATCAGTGAAGACTCCTGTCTCTTCTGAAAAATTTAAATGATTGTGGGGGACTTTTATATCCAAAGCCAGAATTTATTATATTTTTACTACAACTAGAAAAAGCAATTGATGTTTCGTCTGAGCAAGATAATTCAGTCATGAATAGAAAAAGTCCAATAATTTCATGCAGCAAAGATAGACACCCTAATGCAGTTTCTAATTTGATTTTAAGAAAATTTATTAGACCCTACATTTCAAACTACACATAAATTGTAAATGATGTATACATAAAGGAGAATTGTAAACCATGCAGCAAAAGTTCAGAAAGTAAACTGTCCAGAAAAATTATCAAAGCTGCATCTTTAAAAATATAAATGTAAATTTGAATTTAGTAAAACAACTTTTATTTTCTTTGTTTGTTATGAAATAGTCATTTGATAGTTCAAGGAAGACAAAGACTTACTTTGAGAGTCACTGTAGTAATGTAGGAACGCCGATTGGGGGGATTTTTATTCCCTACCGTCGGGATGGTCTAAGGTCTTAGCGTATGTGGGTGGCGGTTTGTAAAGGCAGCAAAGACAAGTGTTTACAAAGGTAAACCGTTTATTTCGGACGAATATGCTTACACAATTTTCAGGCTTCGGTGCTGGTCTTGCGTTGTTGAGAATTTCGGTGGTGATCCGGTGCGTCGTCGTAGGGGCCCCTGGACAGTGTTGAGAAAAAAAAAGTTCGATGTCTCGAAAGTCGATGCACGAAAGATGAAGATACACGAATACAACAGAAGTATAGGTGGAAGTCTTGGTGGAAGTAGAAATCAAGTAGAAAAGTCCCGCTGTCCTTGAATTTTGCGTTTTTATAGGATTTTTGCGATCGACTCCTTGTCAATTGGATAGATCTTACATCACCGTTTTCCAATTGGCCATCCACCTGTCTCCAGGTGTAAATGGAGCTTCGTTAAGTTCGTGGAAAAGGTCGGCTGGAGATGGTTTATCCGACACCATCTTTTCGAATC